TTCTACGTCCTAAGTGACATCACACTTTCCTGCCACTGTACGTCACTATTCCACCCAGACATGGGGCGGGCTTGTAAGTGTTTCATTAACTTGTTCTTTATTATTAGAACATTTCCCTCTTTGTTTGTCACTTGGACAGTGTTAAAGGAATAAAATGGCACTTTTCAAATGTTCCACTACTTCTCAGCAGGCTCCACTCGGAGGCCCAGTTCTGCCACAAGGAAGCTTTTCTAGATCATATTTCTAGGGCCCCACTGCTCCCAGAAAGGATCCCAATATTCTCTGCACACACTGCATATAGTATTTATCATTGCCATACTCCTACAATGTGTGTATTTTTAGCTTCTTTTACAAACCCAGAAGAGACTGCACACACTCAGGGACACCAAATTTCACAGGAGGTGGGAAGGAAAGAAAAGAGACTTCTTTCACCCAAGTCAGGCCACTTGCTAGGTGCTGACACTGCAGAGATTACTGGAATTCTTACAACAGTTTCCGTGTAGTAGCTCCATTGGACAGGTGTGAAACCCAGCCCCAGAGGCCTGCCCGAGGGCCCTGTGCCAGAGCTGGGATTTGTACCCAAGGCTACTGAACAAGTAGAGAATCTCCCCTCTCCTTCCCTCTGCTCTGTGGCTCAAGATAGCCTGGAATCCCTTCCACAGTGGCCAGTAATAAAACAAGTTGATGGTTTTACTTGTCCACTAGTTTCAACGTCAACCAAAAGATATGACGAAGCTCTGAAAAGCACTCATCTCTGGCCACATCAGTAGGAGCCCAATGTCCGGATGGTGAGAGGGAACAGTGTCCTATTTCCCCCAACCAGTCCACTGCTAGGCTTTGTGTCCAATGCTAAGAACAGCACCTCCAAGAGGCACCCATAAACAAGCCTTTCCAGAGATCAAGGAATCCAGAAACAACTTTTCTTGGGAAATAGTGGAAGGACCTGGAAGTCATGGAGGAGAGACATGGAAGGGTGACATGAGAATTCTGTTGGACTGGAGGTTGGTTGTCCCGGGGACATGGGGATAGATTGCATTGTTCCAGAGAGCAGAATGGACCACTTGCTCATACAGGGGCATTAGATGGATGCTTCGGAGGAATTCTGTAAATACCTCACGTCCATGCTTAGCGAGACACTTAAGTGGTATCCCCATGGACAAGACAGAAACGAGCACTCCATGGAGACATTTAGACAAACATGCAGACTGCTCATCATCTAAGAGTCACAGATAGAAGACAGTCATCAAGATGCCCCCATGATCCTCCCCACCCACCACTTATAGCCTTGTATGTCCTCCCCCATACTAACTCAGGGATGGCTCCGTGTGACCAATACAATGCAGTGGAAGTGATAGTGTGTGACTTCCAAAGCTAGGACACAGAAGCACTGCAGCTTCTAGTTTCCTCCATCATTCCCTGGGGTGGAAACTGACCACTATGTCATGGGGATGCTCAAGTAGCTCCTGTGGGAGGTCCCAACTACCATCACCCACCTGCTAATCATGTGAGTGGGTCATCTCAGAAGTGGGTTCTCAGGCCCCCGACAAGCATCCAGCAGCACTCGGGAAATGGGCCATGCCAAGACTGCCCAGCTGAGCTTCTCCCAAGCCATGACCCAGAAAAACCACAAGAGATATTCAACAACTATCTTAGTTTGAAGCCGCTAAATTTGGGGTGGCTTGTTACACTGGCACAATAACTGGAATACAGGACCTCGCATCCTAGGAGGGCTGCCTATGGTGCCCTGCTCTGGAACTCAGCCCAAGCCTCAGTCCTAGGTAAACATAAGCACAGATGCACCGCTTAGCTTAGCAGAAGATTTGCACCTCAGAGCCACAGCAAGTGAACAGAATGATAGAGGCAGAACCCAGGATGACCTGGAGTGCTGAGCGGAAATTACTAGGGTAATTTTCAATAGAAGCAAAGATGATTAGATTAGAAAATTCACTCATCATACACAAGCCAAGGGAGACACAGGGACACAGCAGCATAGGTGGCTGCAGGCTCAGAATGAGTTAGAATGGAGGGCTCGGCAAAGCTCACAGAAGCACAGGACCTGGATAAAGGAGGCAAGCACCTGCCTGGGCTGAGCCCGCCAACAGGAGGACTGTGTTCAGCTCTGGATCACTCTTTCCTCGGGACACAGGCAACCCAGTCCTGCAAAGGAGTTGACAGGAATGGGTAGAAGTACATGGAGGGAGATGGACGAGGAAGGGAGAAAGGAGTGAGGGCGCCCAGTCCCAAATGAGAGGTGGTAAGGGCTCCAGAGCAACAGACTCACTGGTTTTAAATACAGAAAGATCTGTTATGCAGCAGGAGGCCCTGGGGGATAGAGACGGGGTGGAGTAGGAAGGGACCCGCTTTGTTTGTCAGTGAACCCAGTGTCGGGTAGGAGAAGGAGCTTCTACAAAAGCTGAGAGCTGCCGAAATGTGAGAACCACGTGACAGTGGCGAAGGGTCAGGTCAAGCCCACTGCTCGGCCAAGCAAAGGGTGGCTGTCCTCCGCCTGAGGGCAGGGTGGGGAAAGAACTGCTCTTCCCGCTCCGAGCACCCCTCCTGCTGTGCGCTGTGCGAATGGAACCTGCTGGATGAAGTCATCACAGTGTTTCTCCCACCCCAGCAGGTGTTTAAAGTCCTGGTTGTTGGGGGCGTGGATCTGGTTAAAGGGCAGATTCTGAGTGAACAGGGCAGGTTGGCCCTGAGATTCCATGTTTCCATCTATCACGGCCCCAGCAGGCCCTCTGGCCTGTAGGCTACACTTTGCAGAGAACACAGGAGCGACAGCAGATGGGACCAGGCCACCTGGCAAAAGCGAAGGGCAACTGCAAAGTCTCCTAGCAGAGGATGGATGACATGCAGGAGACACGTGCACAAGGAGCAGGACACTTGAGGGTGACAGGAGACGTTCTGTGTGCTACTGAGGGCTTGCTGACACTAATGTCCTTTGATCCACAGAACACAACCTCTAGAGTGTGCAGTCACTTTCCCATATAAAACCCTGGGTTTTATACATCCTTTCAAGGTGGGCACGGTGGCATCTTGTCAGTCTGTACAGAGATCCCCACGCTAGCTTGGTGGCCCCAGTCTCCGCTTCTTAGAGTATAAATGGGAGTCATGCCTGCTTGTGAGGCTGCTAGGCCAAGCATCATCTTGCACATAATAAGTGGCTGATATATGTTTCTTACCCTCGATATAACATCAAGTGGTCAATAAACATCGTTCCCTTCACTGCAAAGATGAACTGCCTACTGAATATTGATCTCTAACTTAGTTGCCCTTCATCTATCCAGAAGTGCCAGACTGTGTATGAGACATGGTCCCATTTTACAGAGGATAGTGGGTTTTCACCTAGTTAATCAGGCAAATTCTGTCATGGGAATCCAGGACCACTCCTGCTAGACTCTCAGGAACGGGTTTATCTGGAAGGGTCATTTCCCCTGGCCCAGGCATCAGATGGGTAACTGATAAGATTGCTTCCCATGTCTTTGTCTGAGAAGGAAGATGCTGTTACCCCTTGCCAACTGTGTCTTGAGAACAAAGTCAGATCGGCCACCAGATGCAGGTAGAAAAGAAGGGACAGCCAGCCAGTGGACACTTCAGCCACAGCTCCCAGGGACAGGTGGGTGGAGTGGACACCCTCCTCATCTGACTGCCCCACAGCTCTGGACAGCGGAGAGGTGGAGGAGCTGGGCCAAACTAAGCCTGCCCCCAAGCAGAGATAACCAGTAAGACGCCCACATGATCCCAAGACAGTCACCCTGGGGAAACTGAGGCGCTTTGCTTCCTCTGAGGCAAGGAGATGCTTGGTGTATTTGCTCTGTAATGTGTGGCCCACAAAGAATCCACTTTTCTGCCTTCGGTCTGTGACCAGTGAGAGGGCCAGCATCTTTCATCACAATGAAATCTTAATGTGAGGCACCCCGACCTCCTTCACAGGGACCCTGAAAGCCACTGGACAGCTGGATCCCCCAAAGTGCTGTGGCTTACCCAGCAGCTTATGTACGGAGAGAGCCTGACCTGGACTCAAACTCAGACCTTCCTAGAGTAGGCCAGTCACTTTCTGGGATCAATTTTCACACCTGGAGGTGGGTAGGGAGTTGTAATATTTGCCTTACTAGGCTCTTTAGGGGAATTAAATGAAATATTACCGTATGTTGCAAAGGGGTGGTAGATGGTATTCAAAGGCTGTTAGTTTTTTACTCTTTTTCCCGGAAGAAAAAAAAAAAATTACCAAGGAGTGCTATAGAGATCCTAGAGCTGTCGCGGTAGGGCGATTTCCTCCCTGGTTTAAGATGTCCTTGGTCTCTCCTGGATTTTGAAGACCTCAGTCTTTGACTCTGAGGATCCCAGCTCCTGTCGCACCTCCTTGCCGCCGCCTTACCACCCCTCTTCTCCTTCCCCTGCTATCCCGCGTATCCAACCCCTAAAACTTTCAGTTGGCTCCCGGATGAGGGAGGTCTCCCAAATCGCAGCCCGGGAGGAGGGGGCCATGAGCGCCGAGGTCGCTTCTTGCGGGAGCCCAGCCGCTGACCTCTGCAGGGCGCCGGGAACCCCAGCCCGCTGTGCTGGCCGTGGAACCCGGGCGCTCGGGACTGCTCTGCGGTGCAGCCCTCCGGGGCCCCTCCGACTGCGGAGCTGCGGACCGCAATGCAGTCGCCGGCCCTCCAGCCCTGCCCGCGCCACGCTCCTCCGGGCGGGAGCCACCCGGT